TGGAGAGAGGGCGGGAGAGGGGAGAGAGGGCGGGAGAGGAGAAAGTTTGGCATTGCCATTGGGACGGACTGAGATTTGGTCACCTCTCCCCACCTCCCCCGATACTGGTGACCCCGATACTTCCAATACACACACGCACACACTCCTGGCCCGGTTCGCTCACTCGCGCGACTCGATCGCGTCATGAAAAGGTTTCCCTTTCTTTCCCTTCCTTTGAAACGACGAAGCATATCTCCACCCGAGGTCCATGTTCAAACCGCTAACTGCCAACCGCTAACTGCCAACCCCACCTGTCCCCACCAAGCTCAACGCCCGAGTGGTTGGCACTCCCAGAGCCGCCATTGCCTCACTGCACACAAACTCCCGTAGAGACGAACGAAGCACGGCACGTCCGTCAGCACGACGGCTGTACGGCGTCTTGCCGGCTCCTTTAAGCTGTAGCTCCCAGCGCTGGCCGTCGACCGGGTTGACTACCTGATGGCGGGACCCCCCGGGGGGAGTTAGAGGGGGTTTCCGTGCGGTGTTTGTGTGGGTTTTGGTTTCGGGGGGGACATACACACGCACGTGGCACACACTCACATCCCAATCTCTCCCGGCACCCGCCATTGGAGAATGTTCTAGGGTTTGGCCTTTCCGTTAGGTCGGGTGTCTGCCCGACACAATGTAAACCACACTGGCACTCCTTCCCCCCCCCCCAACCCTATACACACACGATGCACACACGCACACTAAGGTTTACACATACACACATACAGACACGCAGCACATGCACATACATACATACATACATACACACGCAAACACACCTCCCCCAGCGTGATCGCCCGGCCGTCCCCCAGCTGTCCCGCCCACTGCCCGAACTGGTGACCGCCGTACACCGCCGCGTACGGCAGCGACCCGGGCAGTGGCGCCGCCCCCGACATCACCAGGGGGAACTCGGCCCTCTCGCAGTCAGTGGGATCCAAACCCACGAGGCGGGCCACCTACGGAGGATGTTACGGCGGGTGCTTTTCGGGTTTTAGGACTATTTCTTCGGATTTTAGGTTTTTCTCATGCATTTCAAGGATCTTTAAGGATCTTTAAGACCCGAATTCGGGTTTCGGGTATTGGTGGGCTTTCAATAGCTCTTCGCAACGTCGCATTTGTTTCCCTCCCTCCTCCGCCTCCCCCCAGCAGTCCCCCAAACCTCCCTCTCTTCGCCTTCTGACCTGCCGGGAGTACGTCACGGTGTACGGCACCCCGGAGGGGGGAGTCGGGCTTACGAAGGAGAACAGAGCGCCCTCGACCTTTCGGGAGGGGTACGGCAGAGGAAGGGGAGTTCGTTAGTTAGCCGGGACGCCAGGTAGGTGGTTAGTTGGTTGGTTATTCTACGCGGGTATAGGGCGCCGAGGGGAGGGTCCATGCCAACGATAACCTCTTTTATCGTACGGCACAACCTCTTTTTGCCGTAAAAATATTAAAGATACTTCTCATTTTTAACCTCATCACTCGCCCCTCAAGCGAATCCCCTCTGTATTATTAATGTAAACATCTACCTCTACCTCCAGCTTACTTTTTTTCATTACCTATACCAACTATTTTTCCTCGGGAAATTCAGAGCTGATGTCCTTTACCAATCATTACCGAGTTGTTTTTTGCAATCTTTTGCAAAAACAACTCGCTTGTTCCCCTCGCTCCTCCACCACCGGGATCGTCCTGAGAGGGCCCACGCCCTGAGGACCTCATCCTGCCACCAAATATGTACGGCATGTGACCGTACCTGTCGTACGACATTTCGGCTGTCAGGATCTGCAGGCAGTTCCTTCACGAAGGTGTGGTCCCAGGGCAGATTCTTATACGACGTGGAGGTGATGGAGGTTAAGGGGGAGGAACGGAGGGAGGGGGAAAGAGGGGGTGGGGAGGGGGGGAAAGCGGAGGAAGGGAAAGGCGGGAAATGAAGATGGGGGATTCGGGGTTTTGAATTTCGCATATTTTCTTTATCCTATAGCCGGTGGCGCTGTGGCTCCTGTGCGATATGATGCCCTCCTCCCCTTGCCAGGAGGGCCTTACCTCAAGACGCACTCCAGGGTGCCCGCTGGTCGGGGGGCTCAGGGGGGTGTTGACCGCGGGTCCAGCATCGTTGACCGTCGTGGCCGTGGAGCGCAAAGATGGAAATGATGTGAGCCCGCGGCGGGGACTCAAGCTTGGGGAAAATGTACTGGATGTACTGAATTTGCCGGTCCTGGTTCTGTTTCTAGAGATTCTTACAATGCTAACCTCGCTGGAGGCGGTAATGGGCCATGGCAGGTTATGAGGTAGCGCCCAGGGCATGGATGTTGCGGTGAACATCGACCGCCGTGCTAGCGCGCTTGTGCACGCTGCCACAGCGGGCAACATGATTTGGGACTTCTTGATATGCCTGAACTTAGGAGACCGTGATGAGGTTTGGGACTCGAACGTTAGCGTTGTCATCCGGTCCTTCCGCTCACCAAACTGCAACATGTATCGCACATAAAATTTTTATGTTTTTCCACGCTTTAAATCTAAACAACAGCAGTCAAGGAAATAGAAGGACTGTCATAAGAGCTGTCCTGCGCTTCTTGCCTTTGCTTGGTTCCCATCGCGCGATGAGTCACGCAGTTTCATAATCGCAACATAGTGCAAAGCTTCATCATAAATACAATAAGAAGTATTTCCGGTGCGGAACCAAGCCACATTGACGCTTGCAGCTTGAGGACTATTCAGCCCATACCATCCAGCGAGCCCCACGCTACCTCACCCATGATCCCAGCGCGGGTGCTGCGCTGCCACGGATATTATAAGCGACATATTCAGGTGATGCGGCTGTCGTGCGTGGATTCCTCGGTCGCTGCTGCTGCTGTCGCAGCTGACGCAGCTTGGAACTCACGCAGTTACGCGCAGCAACAGCGTACAGCAGCGCAATTATTCCAGTATCTTCATCCTACTTTCCTGGGGGATGGGGGGATGGGGGAATTTTAGTGGGGGAAAGCATTAGACAACGGAACGAGGGTGGCAGGGAAGCAAAGCCTGACCTTCATACACCTCTGCACGCTCCTCAGTCCTATACACTCCGATACATCGCACTGTTTGGTGACCCCGCAGGCGACGGCAGTAGCACCAGCACCAGCACCATCGGTAGCAGTAGCACTGACAACAGCAACAAGGATAGCAGTGACCACCCATTGTGGGCGGGTGGCAACAACCCAGCGCTTCGCATCTCGGGGCTACGCGCGCGGAAGCAGCAGTAGCCGGTATAGCACCAGCACCGGCGGGGGCTGTAGCGGCCGGGGCGGTTGTAGCGGCGGCGTCTCTCTAATCGCCCAGCGCCGCCGCCACGCCGACGCCATCACCATCTCGACTGTTCCGCGCGCTATGTCCATCCCCTCCTCCTCCTCCTCCTCCGCCGCCGCCGCCGCTGCCGCCTTAACAACGGTGGCAACAGCAGTCACCACCACTGCTGCTCCCGCCACCGCCACCACTACCGCTGCTACTGACAGCGCGTCTCTATGGGACGAGATCGTGACGGTGTACGACAAGGCTCAGGCCAGCGGGGCCTGCAGCAAGACTGAAACCCAGGTACGTACCTACCTACATACGTACATACATACGTACATACGTACGGCAAGCGACATGCTGACCGCATATATGCGTACCTCCCGGTTCTTCACACTGTCCACGTGGCCCCTCTTGTCGCGAGGGCAGCTAACATCCACCCCGCTAACCCGCAGCGCGTGTCGGCCTCCCGTGTGCGGATGGTTTTGGATCCCCCCGCGCGGCCCGAGCTAGTGGCTGTGAAGCCGCTCGACTCCTCCTGGACGTCCCCCGACACCCCTAAGGGGGGGGCCCCTCCCGTTACATGATGAGCGCGTTTAGCGGCCCGTGGGGACCGTGTGGTATCCCGTGTCCCCTCATTTCGGAAGGGGGGGTTTCCTCTCTCTCTGTGTGTGTGTGTAGTATCCTCCTGGGTATCACGGGATCTGACATCCGCCGATCGGTTCTTTTTTGAAAAAGACGTGGTACAACAGTGTGTGTGCTTGTGTGTGTGCTTGTGTGTGTGCTTGTGTGGTGATGGTGACGCAGGTGGAGGTGCTCCGGGAGACCTCCCTGGACGTCAGCTTCCTGGTGCGAGTGGCCGCTGCGCTCAAGGTGAAGCCGCAGGGGCCGACACCAGCCGGACAACCCCCGCAACCCCCGCCGCAGGTGGCAGGTGTGGGGGGCCCCGGGGGCGGCTGGGTGGGGCCCGGGGTGGGTGGGTGAGTAGGTGTGCTAAGAATGCTCGTTTATGGAGGCTCTAGGCTCTGGGCCCTATGCGCTCTGGGCCCTATGCGCCCTAGGCCAGGCGCGGCCACATGAGAAGGAAGGAGCAGGGGGAAAGGGGGAGCGGGGGGAAATCAACACGGCCCCGCGGCTTGGCTGAACGCGCGGCTTGAACCTGGTCGGTCTCAACTCGGCATGTACCCTACCAGTATGTAATGTAGTAACCAATGGCCAATAATATATGCAAATTGCACATGTACGGCAGGTACGGCGGCGGCGCCGCCACCGTCAATGCCGCAGCAGCCAGCCTGGCGGAACCCCTTCCTGCCGCCGGAACCGGAGCTCTTCGTACGGCACCTGGGTCCGGAGCACAGCCTCGTACTGAACAAGTTCAATGTCGTACACCACCACGTGCTTGTGATCACACGCGAGTTCCGGAGCCAGGCGGAGCCATTGTACGGCAGTGACTTGGCGGCAACGCTGGATGTCGTACGGGTGTGTATACGGGTATATACATAACATTGTGCGATCGAAATATGTTCGCGTGTGTATTTTTCAACTTTAGTGTTTTGCGTTCTCGAGGGGCCCTTGAGGGGCCCTGAGGTAATACGACCATCTGAAGGCTGCCCGAAATGAACACATATCGCACGAAGCGCGAGGAGGAATTTAAAAGAATTATTATATCCTATTACACAGATATTATGCCGGACTATCCCCATTTTGTGATCGAGATGTAATGAGTTGGATCACCCCTGTTGGGTGGATGGATCGACCGATTGAGGGGAACAGGGGGGGCGGCCATGTGACGTCTTCCTGTGGACTTCTTTGATAATGTGCTTTCCCGCCGTACATTCCCGCCGTACACGAGCAGTACGACTGCGATCCCACCAACCAACGTATTCCAGCTCCCCTCTCGCGCACGGCCTCCCTCCGCCTTGTCGGCCAGCCAGCCAGCCGGCGATGTTGCAATGATCGTCGGTGCATATGTCCTTCATGGCAACTGCCAACTAACCGCCCCAACCACCCCAACTAACAGGCGATGCCGGCGGGCGGCGTGGCCTTTTACAATTGCGGCCCTAACTCTGGTCGCAGTCAGCCTCACAAGCACATGCAGGTGTGGGCGCGGATTGGGGCGGGGTTGGGTGTGTGTGTATGTGTGTATGTGTGTGTGTGTATGGATGGGGGCTGTGTGTGTGTGCGTGTGTGTGTGAGAGAGAGAGAGAGGTCTGTCGCGGAGGCTTTACGGCGGCTGGCGCACCGGGCGAGGGTCAACCCGGTGTGTTTCGTGTATCGTAGTGAAGGGGCCAAATACGAACATTCGGACGCCGTTCGGGTACTGGCATGGAAAACGGGTTGGTTTTCACTGCTGTCATGTATAGCTGTGTTCCTGTCTGTCTGTACGTATGTATGTATGTGCTTATGCCCATTAAACGGCGGTACGAACTCTAGCACGAGTGCGGGGCCACCGCATACAAGTTCTGCAAAGAGCCGCTGGAAGAGCTTTTTTCCATTGTTGTACGGATGTACGGTATTGGCAGGTTGTTCCGCTGCCGTTCGCGGACGGTCAGCCGCCGGTGCCCCCCGTACACCCCGTGGTGCTGGCGGAGGCGGCGGAGGCGGCGCCGCTACAGCCGCTGGAGCTCCGACGTTTGCCGTACAGGTGTTACGTCGCTCTATTGCCGGACAGGTATATGTCGATATATTTAGGGTACCAGTGTGCAGTTCCTGTTGCTGCTTTACCCCCCGGTATTTATGTATGTATGTATGTACGTGCGAGGAGGGGGGGACCGAGGGAAAGGACGCCGCGATTTGACCACTCACTTCCCGGGTCATTACTGGTCCTAGGTCACTTCTTACAACTTCCCTCTGCAACTTCCCTCTGCAGCATCCTATATACCTACACATATATTATAATACATAATTCATATGTAGATGGAAGTTGCAGAGGGAAGTTGTAGGAAGTCTCTGGTATCAGCATCCCACGCCTGCGGTTCGTCGTACCCCCCCCTACCCCATTATTGGTCTTGTCTTATGTTGGAGTATCTGTCTACTGTTTTTTTCTGTTCGTCACTCGTTTGTGGTTCGTCTTATCCCCCTCCCCCCCCCAACCCTACCCCCGCCACCGCCCCCAACAGGCCAACCCCGCAGCAGCTGGAGGTGGCCTTCCACACGTTGCTACAGACCTGCTTTCCGGGCTACAACTACGAGCCATCGCCGCTACTGCAGGAGGGCAGCACCCCGCGCGACGCGGCCACAGCCGTCGCCGTCGCGGCTGGATCCGTGTCGTACAATGTACTGCTGACGTCATCTTGGATGATGCTGGTGCCGCGCGGCAGGGAACGCTGCGGCCCGCTGGCGCTCAACAGCCTGGCGTTCGCGGGTACGATGCTCGTACGGTCGGAGGACGATCTGGAATTTGTACGGCAGATGGGTCCATTGGAAATATTACGTCGCATCGGGGAGCCGTGGTGAAGCCTTGGTGTTCCCCCCCGGACCCCTCTTCGTCTGGGGCCCCTTGAAGGATCACAATTTGAGTTATGTGAGCCGCGTTTGCGTACGTGTGTGTATATGGGTGTGTGTATGTGTGTGAGGGGGGGGATGACAGGGGGTTGTATCTTCGCCCGTGGCAGCTACCCTGCGAAACCCTGCCTTCCCCGGTATTTCGGGGCACCGTCATCCAGCCGCACCCTAGTCAACTTCTCAGTGGACTCTGTGTGTATGTGTGTCCTGTTGTGTGTTTTGTTGTGTTTACGTGTCTGTTTACGTGTTGGGTATCTGAGTGGGACTAAGGAAAGGGCGGAGCGAAAGCCCCAACGGCGGCTGAATGCCAGAGGAAGGGGAATGGTTACTGGGAGAAGGGGCCTTATGCATGCCAAGGGGTCAGAACGTCAGAACGATTTGCACGGAACGTCGCAACGGATTTCTAAGAGGGGAAAAGCGCCGTACAAGTCGCACCCGCGCCCGCGCGCGAAAGAGGGTTTTTGTATGTTTTTTGGGGGGGAGGAGGTAACGAGCTTACAGGAGTGTAGGAGGGTGGAAGGCAGAGAGGTGTGGATTGGCAAGGCCATGTCCGTGTAGATGAGGCAGACTTCCTGGCATCAGGGGGCCTGGGCTCGCGCAGAGGGCTTTTACTGCTGGCGGAAAATTGGAGGACATGGCGACCAGGTTCCGAAGGGTCTGAAAAGAACGCGACTATTTCAACGCCTTGGGTTTATCTTCGGTGTGGCAAGTATGTGAGTGAAGACTTGTATGGAAATTGGCGAGACCACGGGATCCTGAACACCGTGCAGGATGTTATTTCGGCTTGGCTTGGCTTGGTTGAAGGGAACCGATGGAAAACCAGTAGATTCAGGACGTGCTGTCCTCAAGGATCTTTGCATAGCATGGGACGGCAGAGGTTGATGCTGTGCACGGCTGCATTTCGTAGTTTGGAGCTTGAAACTTAGGATGCTTTGGAAATCCGTTGTTGTTGTTGCCCCAACCGAAGAAGCAGTTGGGGCAAGTGCGCAAGGCGCAACGCATACGCTGCAGTGTCACTTTTATAGATACGCACGCTACAACTTGGGATCCTCCGATGTAGTCGTTTGAAAAATTGTCGTTTGCTTTGGAAAAGCCATTTTTCAGGCGCGTAAAGTAAGATAGCTGTCTTGGTATTTCCTAGAATACCTGGAAAGTAATATGGAACCTACGCAAGTAAATGCTGCTGGTCCCTCAACAACAGGGCCTTCAATTATGCCAAATGATCCTCGGTTAGCACGTTGCGGCTTCGCAAAGCTGCAGGGCGAGGGTATTGAGTTCTTCATCCGTAAATATGAGATTACTATGGGCCGCACAAGCAAAAACAGCACTTTAGACCTCATCCTGGGTGATAGTACCACGATCAGCCGGCAGCACGCCACCATCCGCTACAACTTTGACGCCAAATGCTTTGAGCTGGCCGTCCTTGGGAAGAACGGCGTGACGGTAGAGAGCACTAGCAACGGCACCACTCACCTGTATACGCCGGAATCGCCGCCCACGCCGCTGCGGTCCCGGGACCTGCTCATCATGGGCGAGAAGCGCTTTTACTTCCTTCTCCCTCGAGCCATGGGTGGGCAGTCACGTAAGCGCCCCCGGACGGAGCCCTCGCCCGCTCCCGGCCCCCTGGGAGCGCATCCCAGGTCGGCTCCAGCTGCTCCCCCGGTGCAGCTCCACCATCCTGCTCAGCCGCCTTCAGCCGCCGGGGCCACCCCTGGAGCCCCCACCCAACAGCCCCCACAGGCAGCTGCAGCACCCATAGAGATTCCTGCAGCGGCTCCCGTACCGGCTCTAGGCTCTTCCGGAGGGCCGACGACAGCGTCTGGCCCCGCGCACCTCCCCTCCCACCAGCCCCAAGACTCCCCGCAACCCCAAGCGTCCCCACATGCGCAAGAGCCTCCTCCCCTCTACGTTCACGCGCAAGAGCAAGGCGCCGCCGTCGCGGATCCAGGCGGCCTTGCCGTACACCAGCACCCGCAGTACCAAGCAGCGCACCGCGATGAAGAAGATGCGCTTATCAATAGCGGCCTGCCGTATGACAACGGGTCGTCGTACGGGTACGGCGATGCAAACAGCACCTTCCCCAGGGGCTTCTAATCGCCATGGCGCCACGAGCGCAGCTGAGTGCAGCGGACAGTGCATTTGTACGGCTGCTGCTGCTTGGTGCCCAATCCCCGGGGTGGGGTAGGGTAGGGCTCCCCCTGGTGAGCGTCAGCTGCTCGGGGCTGTGCGCGACTGGTGGGGCTATTGCTGCTTCTACATCTGAAGAGCGGGGAGGGCAGGACGTTGGAGGAGCCTTTCCACGAATGATAGACTGGGTGGTATCGGATCCTCGTCGTTATGTGTGTGTGTGTTACAGAGTGGATGGCTTCTGGGCCATGCATACATGGTTCTGGCACCGGAGACCGGACTGGGAGTGTCCTGTGGTAAATGGGTGTGCAGAAGAGGGGGGAAGAGGTAAAGGAATGATGCGAACAGCTCTTGATGCAAACACCACGTCGGGCTTTGATCTGGGAAGCACCGGACGTGTGTGTATGTATGTGTGTATAGAGATCCTGAGCGAGATATGAGAGTTATGGAGTACACTCGAGACAAGGCACGGGAGGGCCATGTCAAGGGGAATGTTCCGGCCTGGTAAGCGCCTTGAGAACTGTTTGAACCACTCCTGAAGAAGCTTTCCAACTTCCGGTGAGGAGGACTCTTTGCAGGGACTGGATGGTTCTCAAGGGCAGGCGAACTGTTTCATATAGGGGCGATGTTCCAGATCCTCCACGTGTTCCCTCATTCATGGTTTCGGAGCCGCCTCGTCAGGGCAGCCTCTGTATCTCTGTATGTCAGCTTGGTTTTGGTGCACGGGAAAAAGCAAAGTAGGATGGGACAGGAGTGCAGGACATGAAGGGGCGAACGGCCGATATGTGTTCTTGGGCGGCGTGGTGCGATGTTAACGCGATATGTTATGTGGCGCGATATGTTATGCGGATGTGGGTTTGCACCACACCTGCCGCGATCCGGCCCGTGTACCCGTCAGGTCGGAGCGGGTCGGCGTGAGGTGGGTCACAAACCTGTCGCCATCAGGTGTTGCTGCACCTGCCGCCTCTTGCTCCCTCTTTCTCCCTCGCCCGGCCTGGGGTGGGGCGGATGGGTGCAGGGTGGTATATCCGCGGCCCTGCCGCTGTGTATCACTTGCTCCCATGCAGACAGACGTTGCAGGAAGGGTAATACGAACCAGTGGCTGTTTTGCTGGAGGGGGAACCTCCTGCCTTCTTGCCGCCATATTTATGAAATATCGCCGTCTTTGTACTACGCCTATTCCTTATTCGTCTCCGTCTCCCCTATTTTGTGGACAGATGATGGGTGCTGGCATGGAGGATGTGGATGTTTTATCCTTCGGATGACGTATGTAGGTGTGTATGTATGTCGTACCCACGGGTTAAGCGCCGAGGACAGCTACCAGAATATGCAGTTATATTACGCACCAGTTTCATTCCGCTGTGGTAAAGGAATCGCCAGCTTCTTACCACCTTCCTTCTGCTTCTCTTTATGCTCCATTATGGCTGCCAGCAAGAAAGAAAATCAGTAGTAAAAACACTTGGATAGGCGTTAAGCGTTTTAAAAGACGAGCAGGATTTTCTAGCTAGAATGCGCAGTCGTTATACACCGAAGCTTCATACTCGGGCAGTAGTGAGCGCAGTTGATCAAGCCCACGCAAGACTGAGGATGGCGGACCTACAGTAAGTCCCTGCCGCTTTACCCACATGCCCTGCAGCGACTGTGGAGTACATAATAAATGAAATACCGCCATAACGGGGACCCCTGTCGCCCCCGCCTCCCCGGCCCTCAGCTGGGTGGAGCAGCAGAAACCCCTCAGGAGGGAAAGAGGAGGAAGACTCGATCACCCAAAACTACAATGCTACATTAAAGACATTTTACATTTTGGTCGAGGAGTTCCCGGCACGCAAGTTCAGGGCAGTCCACGAGGAATGTTCTGTAATGCGCAGTTTGCAAAGTAAGTAGCAAAAAAAAATTCTAGATCCTCAGTCTGCAAACCTATTATAAAAAGGGTTTTATCTCCGGCACAACCGTCCCATAACCACCACCACCACCACCACCGCTGTTACCACCCCAGCCGCCACAACCTAAGCTCCTAGACAAGGGAGGAATCCTCGCAGTGCGGGTCATCAAAAGCAAAAGGCAAAACACGTGCTCGCGTGTTAGGGCCCCGTGGCATACATACCAAGGAAAGATGAAAAATAGGTAAAAGGCGTATGCACCCCCCCCCTTTCCTACATATTATGCCCTAAGTGCGATTACAGTACGGCGGGGGCATCTGAATCGATTGCGACACCTGAGCATGGCCCGAGACTAAAAAAGTGATACGGAACAGCAGCGCCAAGCAACAGCAAACCCGAAGCAAAGACGGACTGTTCACGATATCGTCTACCTTGAGCGCCGCAACACGCGTCTCACAAAACACGGCCAGCCTGCTAGAGCTGCCTGCTAGGGCTATAGCCGGCAGCTCTAGCAGCCTTTACGGAGAGACCGTGTATGCGCCTTGACCCTGCCCTTGCACGACAGTATCAACATTCACGGGGCTTCGGGTTCCGGCTTTCTCCTCTCCTTTTCCTTTATCGCTCCGAAACCACAGCCTAATCGTTGCTGCAATCAACGAGCCAATCAATGTGCAGCGGCGGCGGCGGCGGCGGCATTCGATGCGCCTCTCTTTAGCACCCACTGCCCCATCGCCACCATTCATCTCGTCATCGCTTCATATCGTCCTCTTCTTCCTCCTCCTCCCCTCACCACCATTCTCTCCCCATCCTCCCGCCTCATGACAACATTAATATTTTATTATCTGCAGCATCTGAACGAAGCACACCATAGAGGTGGTCCTCTGCACGGTCGGGTCTCGTCACACCGTGCAGGTGACCCCCCTCCTCCCACCCTGAGGGGGACACCGCACTGCCCTCGTCGGCGGTGACTTGAGTTGCCTCCCGCCGGAGGCCCCGCGTCCCCCCCCCCTCCGGTGTGTGCGGTGAGCAGCACACAGGAACACCCGGGACGGTGTGTGAGTTGAAACGCCCTGAGGCCGCGCCGCCCCCGGGAATCCCAACCCCACCACCCAAAACAAAGTGCCCCAGCCGCAAAAGCTGGCGACATGTTCTCGCCCCCATATGCATATCCACCACCACCACCACATCTGCATTTCCGCCATCTCGCGGAAGTCGCCGCCCAGAGCTAAAACGCGACGGCTTCGGCTTCATCAGCACACATCCACACAGCTAGACATGGGTTCGACAGGACGCTCCCCGCCCCACATCCCGCGCAGAGGTGTCGTGTCATGTGCCGCGCGGTGCAGTCCTTTGTCCTTCCTCTGGCGCGCAGGTCGGTCGCGTAAAATCAGGTGGGCGGTTCGGTGGGAAGCCTTTTCCGCTGGACCCGCCCTCCCACTGTTCAAAACAAGCGAAAAAAACCCTTTAGTTGCCCATCGCAGACAGACTCCAAACCCCCAAAGCCGCCGCCACTCACCTCAAGCCCCCGCCTCTGCACTTAACATGGCAGGTGATAGACGCCCCGCGTGGGATTCCGGCTACAGACTTGCACTCGCAACAACAAGGAGCTGGCTTTGTGGACCACATCGCTATGTAGGGAAAGAAAACACAAAGGCATCAAAAAGCACGTTGTCTTCACGGAGCCAAACCGCATGTGTGTGAGTGAGCATGAGAAACAGAACAACAGATCGCAAAATCCTGCCGTCCTATTCCCCACCCGTGCTTTTTGTCTTTCTTTTACACCCTGCCATCCACGACCTGAGCATGCCTCTCTTTTTTTGCGACATGTAGAGCATCTGCCAAGCCCGCATTGACATGCAGGTTTGCACAGAACGGCGCGCCCTCCACCACGCCGCGTCTCTGGAAATGAAGACCACAAACTGGATCTGGGCGCTCTCTCTTGGCCAGCTTCCCCAAACGCCCGCTTGAGTTCTTAGCGCCAAGTTCTTGCCCTCAAGTCCGACTCCTACCCAAAAACCTTTCTTTCCGCCTCGGCCATTCCAATTTCCCCACTTCACTTCACAACCTGCAAAACTAGATCCGAAACCTGAATTCCAAATGGAACCCGAAACTCACGCGCGCGTTCTCCCCCCCCGCACCTGGAGAACCTCGACTAGTCACCGCCCTAATTCAACACGCACAATTGGAACGGGACTTTCACCGCACCCGGGCAAACTCGCCGGGTTGTGGCCCCCCCCTCCAACTGCTGTAAGGGAGGTGGGGGGGGAAGGAACAAGACTCGCGCTCATCCGCCCTCATCAGCCGCCTGGAGGACATCATAATACTGCAGCAGCAGCAGCAGCAGGTGATGCTACGGCACCTGCTCTGTACCCATTGCGTCGTTCCGCGATCCGTACGGCTACACGAGGTAACAGCAAGATGGACGAAAAGGAAGGAAAAGGAGAAAAGAAAAAACAGAAAAAGAAACATAGGCCAGGCGCCGACAATGCCGCCAAAGTAGTGAAAAGACAGACGGACAAACGAACAGAAGCATAACAATACATTACCGAGGACGCGGCGGACGACGAGAACCCAACAGTGACGGGAATATGAAGAAGAAAAAGCAGTTATGATGCATGCATGCGGGGGAGCTCTCCTCTCCCACCATCCCGAAGCGTACATGCTACAGCCTGCGCGCGGGTCCCCATCCTCAATCGGCCGCTCGTTTAAAAGACCCCCCCTCCCCCTCTCCCTCCCACCTTCAACAAATCACCCACACCAGCAAATGTCGGTGGACCCCCCCGGGGTAATCTCACCACCACAAGCAAGAACCGAGCCCATGGAAGGCGGTGGCGGAGAGGAGGCGGAGCAGACCAACATAAGGCTGCAGCAGCAGCAACAACAGCAGCAAAGCTGCTGCTGCTCGTTGATGAGCGACAAAGCGCTCCGCGCGACCTGGCTCGTCCCGAACCATGCGACGAAGCCTTATCCGAGATATCCACATCAACAGCTTCCGTCCGGCGGTGACCTACTACCAACCTGTTGGCAAACCGACTCAAGCGGTACGGCAAATGACGTGGCACAAATACACAAATACGTGGTACCCCCACGGCGCCCCTCACAGCCCACACGTCAGCGCTCGATACATGTCGATCATAGAGCATCACCATGGCCATCGCCTCTATCTCAATGCCATCATCACCACCAAAGTCATCACTACCATTTCGCTATTTTGATACTTCTATTATTACAACGTTAATATTACTGCTGCTATTACTGGAAACCCTAACTTGTTGTTGGTGCTAACAGCTGAAACCCAGAAGAAAGAAACACAAGAGAAATCATGTCAAAAAGATCAATTCGATCCGAGATCTAACGCATGCATCCGAACTTCCAGCGAAAACCAACAGCAACTTCAACATCAGCAACAATCAAACAGACCACGGGTTCCGTACAGCGACCGCTGAAGTGCAGGGTTGATCGGCGGGCGCGCAGCATCGCTCCCCGCGGCTGCCCTCCCCCAGCGGTCGGCTGCCAAGCCCTCTTCGACTGCTGGCTCACATCAGCTCTCATGACATCGAGCACCATTTGGAATATAATCCACGCACGATATCCCGAAATTCGAAGAAGAAGAAGACGAAGGAGAAGAAGAAGAGAAGTAGGAGAAGAAGAAAATAAAGGAGAAGAAGAAGGAAGGAGCCGACGACGGCCGGCCTTCACGACTTCCTTTTCATCCATACACCTAAACAGGCCGCTGTGCCATTGTGGGGTGATTTTTTTTGAAAATTCTCAAACTGTCTCTCTGGAGAGTTGAGAAAACGCATGTCTCCATCTAACGGAACCGCGTACGACTTCTTCAAGACTGTCGTACGAGCGAGGAGCTTACGGCCGTCCGTACACCGTAAAAGGCAGGTTCACCTGAAACAAACTACAACTACTGCTACTACATAGAAAGAAATGGAACCCTCATCATCATCATCATCATCATCATCATCATCGCTGAGGACGGAAACACAGAAGGAACGAATGGGAAGGACGGGGATGCCGGGTGCTGGGAGGTGTCCAGCCCTCATCTCAAGAGTACTGACCAAGAGACAAAACACATACAGACACACACACACGTAACATACGACGCAAGTTGGAGCACACAAGCCGATTAATGCCTAAGAAAAGATGTCACCATTCTGTCTGCACACACATACCGAAACAATACTTGAAAATTATATCTTACGAGTCACCCCCCCACACACACGCTATAAGTTTTGTTGTACAAAGGCTGCCGCTACTGCCTCTACTGCCACTACTGTATTCACTTTGGCGCCTATAGCCGCCGAGGACATATATCGCTTAGGATTCAGGCATCTGGACCTTGCTTCTCTCGCCTTCACCTGCAGCTCTGAAAAGAAGCTTCGACTATATTCGTCGCGCTCTCCCTCTCCCTCTCTCTCTCTTTCTCCCTCTTTTGCTAGTACACTAACGACTCAACAGCCCTGAAAAAAACGATCTCCCTTTTTTAACCCAAAGAACTCTTTTTTTACCTTCGCTCCTTCCATTTCCCTCTTCCTGCTGACCAACCCTTCGCGTGGAATAGCTCAACCTATACCTTCCCGTTCGACTTCTCCCTTTCGCCCTCTCTCTGTCGCTCCCTTGATTGCATAGTCGCCGCTTTCTTAGAGAGCATTATCACGCCCACACACAAACAGACATACACACAGACAGACACGCTCTCTCTGTCCCTCTCCCTCCCCTCTGAAATACGCCCACGCACAAAGCCAGGCAAGAGCACAAAAGCAATACACGCACATGCCTCTAGATTTTTTTGTTATAGCTTTGACAAACCCTGACAAACACCGCATCCTGGGCGACGACGTGCGACGAGGTTGGAGGTTGTTGGCAACCACCGGAATATCCAACAGCATCTCTCCTGTTGCCGCGTGTCTGTGTGCGAAGGCCGGACGACGACGACGACGACGACAAGGGCCTTACCAGGCTGTGTACTTACCAAGCCGAACTGCCCAGGCTGAACCCCCCTACACACGCACAGATCCAGATGAGCCAGACGACAACCAGATACCGTATGTATGTATTTATGTTAGCATGTGTGTGTTTCGAAAAACGTTTGCATGCTTGCGCCCCATCTAAACATGTGCTGCCAGACCTCGTCCCCGTTAACACAATACCTTCAGGATTAAACCAATCCGGCCATGTTCATCAGACCTTCCCATCTGCAGCGGGGATTACACACAACCAAGCAAAAACCCAAATCTCTATCTGCAAAAACCAAAACTTTACCAAACCTGACTCAACTCAAATCCAGACCGACCGACCGACCGACCAACAATGCAAAAAACACATCCAAAACAGACCGACGCGTACGCGCATTTGCGCGGGACACACAACGTCGATCCGCTTTCCTTCAGGTCCCCCAACTAAAAGAGAGAGAAAAAGTCAAGAATTTCATGACAAGAGGAAAAAAAGTACACCGTACGGCGTTGTATACGACAAGCCACGTGTGGACCGATGTAAGGAACGCGGTGTCCAAAGGACAGGAGCCAGAGCTCTCAGAGCTCTCAGCCACGGCGGCACTCTTTCGGAAAGCTCAGCTCTCCCTCCCCCTCGGAGGTTGAGAACCCCGGCAGGATCCCGGACCGCAATGGACCGCACGGCCTCTTTCCCCTCCCCCCGGGGGAACACGTCAAAGTCATGTCATGTCGCGCGGATGAGCAGCGGAGTAGGTGGGCGAGTGGGGTAATGATGCTGGCGAGTAGTGGAAAGTGCGACTGGGGGCGATGGAGGTGAAGGTGGCGGGGGGCGGGTGTATACATATCGTTTTGCGCTGGACTTTCCCCCTGGATGATGGTGACCGATATGGAGGTGAAAACCCGCCGGAACTGCCCCTCCAGGTCCGCAGCCGCCGCACCTCCTCCCCCCTTCTTTCCTTCCGTACACTACTCGGGTATCGGGAATGGAGCTACCGCCACGTCGGCGACGAGCTCCTTACCCGCGGACGTGGACGTGGACGGAAGCGATATGCGGATAGGCGGGGCTATGGACGTATACGATGTGGGTCGTTTTGTAATGGGCGGGATGGGGCGTGGTGTGGGGATAGCCGCCGTGGTAGCCTGCTGATGAGGTGAGACGTGCTGTAGGAACTGAACCGCTCCAGGCAGGGAGACCTGTCGAGCTGACGAGGTGGAGATTTGGAGGGTGAGGGCTGAGGGTCTGACCTGACCCGCTGACGGCGGGGGGCGCTCTGTTGGCTGGCTGGCCGGTTTCGGGGCCCGACCCGGAGGACCCGAAACGGTGGCGACAGGCGCCGCCGCCACCACCACACCCCTCCTGCCCTGCCAGCTCCTCCGAGCGCAGCACACCAGAACGGCCAGCCCCCGCTCATCCTATCCCTAAGCGCCAGGAGGCATACGTTGGGGCCTTCCGGAGCACCACCAACCGACCGAGGGTGGGGGGAAGGGCGTGCGGGGGTGTATCGTCCATCGCCCTCCAGCCGACCGCAGCTGCAAGGATGTCCCCAACCACACCCACGTTGCTTGTGCACGAGCCTCAAGTCCCTCAGGCCCTGAATCGCCCTAAGCGCAGGTCGGTTAGCTCCAGGCGCAGCGCGAGGTCGTTGGAGCCCACAGCCCTGGCAGCAAAGCTCCATTCTGTCATCCATTCACGGCCTCAAGAGCTCAAGAGCCGCCCAAGACCTCTGTGAGGAACCGCGCTTCTCTCCAATTTTCATCACCATCACCGTCTTGAGCTACCATCACCACTATCATCACCATCACCACCACGATCACAATTCACGTGCGTGCATGGCAAAGGCGACATTCCCTAATTGTTACCTTTCAATGGCCGTGATGGTGATGGTGGCGATGGTGTGGGGCGCAAGAGCAAATCAGCACGGCGCTCTGGAGCGCAGGTTCGCCGTTCGCGTCACTGGATTTCAGTTAAGATAGGCAGGGCCGCCGGAGCCTCTCCTTACCCCTGCGCGCCCGCCGGGCCTTGCAGGTGGCGGTACTGCGGCTGCTGCTGCTGCAGCGGCGGCAGCTGCTGCTGCTGTGGGTAAGGAACCCGCCCCGCCCCGTGCATCTGCCCCATACCCTGGAGAGCTGCCAGAAAGGACAGACAGCTCAAATCCTCTCCAAACACGCCGCCACCTCCGACACCGCCGGCGGCGGCGGCGGCAGCTCCCACAGCCGTGGCGTGCTGCTCCCACGGAGGACCCGGTGCCTGACCGACCAGCGGCGGCGACCGCGCCTCCACGCCGCTGCTGCACCGCAGCCGCTGGTGATACTCGCCCAGACGCTCCGGAAGCGCCGCCGGAACTACACCCCAGGACCCAAAGCCCTCCAGGTTCTTCAACGGAGGCGCCTGGATTTCGCACAGCCCTGTCGTGGCCCCGGTCCAGGCGCCGAGTGTAGCAGGGCCGTCACCGTCGCAGGAGATCCTAGCGCGGCCCGTCGCGGCGGCGGCGATGGCGGCAGCGGCGGCGCCGCTGCCGCCGGCGAAGCCGGCCCCGCTACCGCTACCGCTGCTACGGCACGCTGGCCTGCAGTAGCCGGGTGTTGTGGGGCCGCCACCAGAGTGCGTGCTACTGCCGTTGGCGTGCGCAGCCACAAAAAGCGCATCGGAGCCGGCGCTACGCTCCCGGGCCACGGGAGACACGCCGCAAGGGAATCGGAGGGCGGCGGCGGCGGC